GCTATAATTTAAAATTTAATATTATATTAAATAAAAATTTAATATATATTTAATATATAACTAATCATATATGTAAATATATGAAATTAAAAATATTTTTACAATTTTTAATTCATCAAATAGATAATTGACAGAATTTAATTAGTAAAAATTACAAATATATATAATTAATATTATTTTAAAATATAAATATGATACAGAAAAATAATTACATTAAATTGTCTGGAAACAAATTGCCTTTAATAATTCAATATTTAAAGCTTTATATACTAAAAATATATAAATGTATCATGAGAATAACTCATTCTTTGTCCTAAAAATTTTATTAAAATTTTACCAAATATAAATATATGTTTAATTTTTATTAGAAAAAAAAGCTGAGAAATGCAATTCATAAATGCAATTCATATGTTAATCATAAATATGAAAATGAAAAATCATTATTATATTATATTAAAATTAATTATTAAATATTAAATTGAAATATTTTCAATTTTAAACAATTTATTAAAATTGACTATTAATTTCCAGATAATCTAATAATAATAAGTTATATAATTTAGAAGAATTATATATGAAATAATGTCTAAGAAATTATTTCTTAATTATTATTCAATGAAATAGATGATTTAGAAGAAAAATTATATCACATGTTTTGTTTTACAAAAACAAGAAATTATTTTTGTGTTGAAATATATTTTTGTTATTTTGAAAGTATTTAATAATTTTAATCTAATGTAATTTTAATTTAATTGTTTATCTACATAAGATATATTTATGATTATAAATATTGATTATATATTAGAATATAGAATAATTACAAGTATTAAATTTAGACATTGGTTTGATTTTAAATCACAAATAGATTGATTTAATCTATACTCACATATTTATACATTTATGTATAATATATATATATATATATATATATATATATATATATATACACATATTACCATTTATTCAAAATTTTAAATTACATTATTACAATTAAGCATATATCTTTTTTATTAAATATATCTTAAAGCACTAAATAAATTGTATGTTATATTCATAACTTATAACATTCATATAATAAAAGTTCATTATTTTCAATCAAAAAATTCAAATTCAATATTGTATTTTTCTTTCTAAATCAAGTAAGTTCATATTTTTCATATTTTTCATGATTTTTTAATTATATTTATATATTTACATTAAATATAATATGCATTTATCATAGTTTTATAAACTAAGTATATTCATATTATATATATCAATTTTTAAATTTTTTTTATTAACTGATTTTGTATGAGGTATAATTATTAGTATTTTCTATTTAAATATTGTTATGACATTAAATATATCACAGCAATATTTAAAAAAAATATTAATAATATTTAAAACTGCTGATATATGCACTTATTAATTAATTTTGTAATCATATAATATATAATACAATAAGGTCATGTAATTTACAAACACCTTTATAAAAAATTACATCATTTAATGTCATTTAAGAATATATTTATTTCGTTTTACATATGTTTAATATATTTTTTAAGATTTTAGAAAATAGAATAGACATATTCTTTGAGAACTATATAATATAAATTTTAAATTCTACTGCACTGGAATATTTATAATATTCTTAATAATTGTTTTCAAAATTTTATCTTAAATGTATAAGTAAATATATCAATATATTATTTTTGTATAAATAAATGGATTTATTTTATAAATCATCTTTCAATTTGTTTGTACAATTTGCTAGCTGCAAAATATAAATTAATATAAGTCACCTCAAAGAAAAAATAATAATTAATATACAACCTTGATATAATTTTTTCTATATAAATTTTACATAAGATTAATTTTGGTAAGGTTGTAAAAATATTTTTCAAAAATTAAAAAAAAAAAGATTATAAATAATGAGTCTTATAAATGTATAATAATATGCCCTTAAAAGAAATGAGATGTAATACTTTAAAAATTAACACCAATATCATAGTATTACATTCTTTTACATTGTTTTATGATATTATATAATTAAAATAAATTATTAAATATATTTAGTCATTGAATTTTGTTAGTATAAACAAATAATATAAATGACTAATTAGTAATTAGAAATACAAATGACTAATCTGTAAATAGTATTGTATATAATAAAGATTATATTTTATGTAAAAAGTAAATATTGCATTGATGAGATATAAATTGAATAGTTTGTACATAAAAACATTTGTATGAAAAATTCATAAAAACTATATATCATCTTTCTTTTTCTTATAAGGGCATAATTTTATGAATAATAACTTATTGCACGCAAAAATTAATCAATAGTTGGCTGTGCATAAACTTAATCTTAATAGATTTCAGAATATGTTCTTATATTTAACTAAATGTTTGTAAATTATTAGTTATATATGTTGTATACATTATAATTTTTCAAAGTACTAGAATAGTGCATATATTATGTATTATACATAAAATCAATATTCTTTTTATATTAATTTATCGAATACTAGTAAAAAGATTTAATACAGACTTATTTTCTTTCTGACTACGTGCTTTACTGAACACATTCCAAAAACGCAAAGTTTCATCTCCAGCACCAGTTACAATAGCTTCACCATCTGGTGACATAGCTAAATATAAAACTCTATATGAATGTCCTGTTAATTTTGCAACTTGGGTTAAACTGGGATATTTCCAAACCAAAATTTGGTTTTGAGAATAACCATGTGTACTGACTAGTTCTGAACTATGCTTACTCCAAGCCAAATTACAAACTTGAGAACCAGTATCTACACATTGCATTGGTTGACCCGTCAATGTGTTCCAAAATCTAATACATCTATCTGCTGTACCACCACCAGAAGCTAAAAGACCATGATGATGTGGAGACCACGCAATAGCTTTAACTGCTGCTAGATGTTCAGTGTATGTTTGTATTGGTGAAAGGGAATGTAAGTTCCATACATAAAGACGGTTGTCATTTCCACCAGAGGCTAAATATTGATTATCTGGAGACCATTTGAGTCCACAAACTTCTTGCCTGTGAGCTCCTAGACGTCTTTCACTGACAACACAAGGAGTTCTAACATCTCTTTGTAATATTAACCTATCTCTACTACCAGATGATAAAACTTCACCATTCCAAGCTAGTGCTCCAACTCTTGCACTATGTCCTTGTAATTTGCTTACTTGTTTACTTACAGCTACATCCCATACTTGGATGTAGCCCAAATGTGTACCAACTGCAACTAGGTTTCCTCTTTCATTCCAAGCAACTGATGTTACACTATTACCATCACTGGATAAATCACATAATCTAGTCACTTGGCTGGTACACGCAGACCACAAATAAACACAACTACCTAGACCAACACTAAGAACATTTTGAGAAGACCAGTCAACAAGATTTAAATAAAAATCATCTTGCAATTCAGGAGCATCCAATACTTTAAAAGGTATTCTGGAAATCTTTCTTGTTGCTTTTCTTGGTGATCTTAAAAGTTTCTGACTTTTAGCACTCAATGGTGATAAAGAATAAGGTGAACTTTGATCCAATAGTGTGTGGTCTTTTGTAGGTGTAATGTATTTAAAGAGATTTCTGGTAACTAATGGTGATAATACTCTTCTTTCTTCACATTGTCCTTTTACATCTTCTATACTTGCTCCAAGAAGTTCATTTTTTAGAAGACAAGAATAAGCAATACCATCACGGTTACTTTCTCCATTTTCGCGAGTCTTCTTTGTAACTATACCATTCCGATTATTTTCTGATATCATTGAAAATGTTGTTTGCCAATTATTGCCCGATCGTGTTGGAATAAATCGATCGAAACTATTGTTCATCATCTTAGTTGGCGAAAAATATACTGATGAATGAAGTCCAGAACCTGCCAGACTATCTATATGACTCTCGCTGTTTGACTTCAACAGCCGTTTCTCGTATTCGTGATGAAACATTTTTTTAATGCTACTCTTTCACATTCAGTCACATAATTGTTCAAACACGTTTTCTTTTCTTTAAATCACGTAGATAGCACATACATTGTCATTTCTCATGCAAGTCACTGTATTGATGAAATTAAGTACAGTGTATCATCAAATCGCTATTCAACGTCAACTTGGAAAATTTTCGATACGGAAATAAAGAGGTTGAACGTGATTCTCCAATCGAAATGCTTAGTTTGAAGTACTACGTTTGAAAACAGATGGGCAAACATCTGTATAAAAAGATGCAATTGAATGAATATCCATCTAGCGACATTCTTACGAAGTTATAATGAAATGTTAGTTTATAACGTACTTTTTAAAAAATGTATAATTTAATGATTCGTGAAATTTGTAAAAGTAATCTTTAAATAGATTTTATATGAAATATTTAAAAAAAAATGTATTCCTATTATATATTTTATAATATAATTTACGATTTTGTAAATATAAGGTACAAAATAATTGACACATACATCAAAGTTATACGTATATATTCATGAAAGATTATACAATTTTCAGTTAGCAGTTGAAGAAAGTAAGTTATATGATTATTTTATATATTTCATACTCTAAAATTCTTAATATCAATTTGTTTAAAACTTTATTTATAAAATCATGTACATTCCAAATTAAAAGTGCATAGTAAACAATAAAAAATTTAAAATATAAGTAGAACTAACCTTAATGTTCGATATTAATTTACAACTTATACAAGTTGCATAATTATTTTATTTTAACGATTATCATAAAATATTTATATGTATTTTAAATTTAATGTTGAAGTTTTTTAGTTTATATTAGGTCTTAAATTATTAATTTAATGTGTTTTATGCTAATAAAGTAAAAATATTTTTTTAATCAAAAAGTAAGTATATATATTTATACAATTAGGTATTTAAAAAATATTATGATTATATTTAATATTATCACATATATAAAAACATAAAATTTGACTTAAAATTCTAGTCTTATTTAATCTTTGCCGATAATGACGATCATTGAGCTAAACGAAGAATTATTGAAAATTTATTATATTTAATCTAATGATTTAAAAAATTACTATTATTTAAATAATAATCTATTATTTAAATAAAATCTGTGTTCTATTGAATTATAACATTGTATGTATATACATACATACATGCTTGCTTAGATTAAGAAATTTACGATAATGAAAATAAAAACAGTTAGAATATAAGTTTATATTTGTATAGCAATAAATATTGTATTTTTAAATAAAAAATTATTTTATATTAATATAATGTTTCTTACAATATATATATATCAAAGAAACACTTTTTACTTGTTAGCCAACAATTCTAATCGAATAATGTATTTGAAGATATTTTGAAAAATTTAAATTTTAAAATTTTCTAATAAAATTATTAGAATTATATATATGATATCATTAAATTCATTTTGTTATATTATTATTATTATTATATTTGCTATATTATATTATATTAGAAAATGTATATCATTTAAAATGAACTTAACCTTAAAATAATTTTTTATTTGATAAATTTTTACATGCATATTTTAATGCATTTTTAGATTTAATTTTTAGAAATTAAAAAATTAAAAATAGATTTAAAAATGTAGTGATAAATTTGTAATTAAAGTTACTTCATATACACATAATGTTATATTATCATATATTATATAATGTGTATATTATCATATACACATTATTTATCATTGTTATCGCTGAAATATAATTCGATTATAATTAGCTAACTTTAAGAATTTAATGTTTATATTAATTTAATCGTAGTATTTTGAAAGCATGTATTTTACTTATTAAAATTTAATCTTACTAATTTTTATAATTTAAAGATTTTTTCACTTAATTTTTTTTCTCTTGAACAATCTTGTATAATCTTTAGATATTTTTTATAATATATAATTACATTTAAAATTTTTAATTATAAGAATGTATATAATTTCAGTTCATTTGAAAAAATGGGAGGTCATGGTCATGCATCTTCAATAAAAATACCGAGTCCTGACATATATAAAGTAGAAGATGTGCCAGAGCTCAAAATGGTTCAAGAAAAACTAGCTAAACATGGATTGAAAGATCCTTGGTTAAGAAATGAAGTTTGGCGTTATACAGCACTTCCTGGTTCTTCTCATACTTTACGAGTATTTAAATCTCTTACCAGGGGTATGCTACTTGGATTTGTTGCATTTGTAGCAACACTAGGTATAGAAAAATCTCTTGGAATTAGTTATGATCCTAAACATGATGATCACGATCATGATAGTCATCATTAATTTTATTTAAAAAATAATTGGCAATATAGAGAAATATTATAAAATCGCTTAATTATTATTGTATATTATAAATTTGAAAATAAATTATAATTTAAATGAAATGATTTTATTGTATATTTAATAATTAATTAATGATTTATATTATATGAGGATTAATATGTGTAAAATGTAGAACCACCACAGAATATATAAGAAATTAAAAATTTAAAAATTTTATTATTTATATTTGATCTTGAATTTTTATTGAAAAAATTATTTAAAAAATTTTTAATATTTTAATTTCTAATCAAATAATTTTTTTTAAACATTTTTTTATGTCAAATGTTCTCAGAATATTTCAAATATTTCTCAGAATATGAATATTAATAAATGTATATAGATGCATACATATCTGAATATATTACATAAAAAATTATATAAATCTTCTTCAATTATATAAAAAAATTATAATTTTATGTAAACTATGTATAAATTATATATTTTTATTTATTTATTTCATTATACAAAAATTAATAAATTTTTGATATTTCAAATTCAAATTATAATACAAAATGCAATATCTTTAATAGTATTAATAATATAATTATATTATATATATAATAAATTAATTATTTATGTAAAAAATATTCTATTTAATAATATATGATTGCTTATATTTTTTTTACCACTTTGTTTCATTATTAGAGTTAATAGTATTGATACTAATATTGTTACTACAATAGCTAATGTGCTATTATTATACAACACAATGATGAGAGTAAATATTGAAATTTCAAATGTTGCAAATAACCATTCATTTCCATATAATAATACTTGATTAAAAGAATAATTGTTATCTGCAAAATTTATATACAGTATAAATTATGATGAAAAATATTTTCTTTTTTTTTCTATTAAAAACACATTACCAATATAGAAAGTTGATTTCTCTTCATTGTAAAAAAATATATTGAATAATTTCTCTAAGAAATGCTGTTCTTTAATAATATAATCCTCATTTTTTATGCAATGATCTATAAATTTACATAAGAACTGTTTTATTTTCAATTGATTATTAAATATATATTCCCAATTTGTAGTTGCAGAATAGAAATTATTTATAAAATTATGTCGTTTCTATGAATTAAAAATATATATAATTTATAATTCCAAAAAATTTTGATTAAAACTATATTATACATACAATATTTGTCAGTTTTAAGTTTTTGTTGAAAGTAATTCTGAAAGTTTTTGTTAAGTATAATATAAATGTTTGTTGAGTTGTGCCTGGAACAAGACCTCTGTGTGCACATAAATTATTTTTTTCCATTTGCAAATTATTAATTAAAGTAGGTAAATCTGTATCTGCAAATCCATGCACTGATCTAAATGTAAAAAAAAGTATTAAATTACAATATTTTATTTTTTAAATTTATATACTTTGATATTAATATGTATTACCTTCCATGAATATAGAAACCATAATAATTAAATGGTAAAATAAATACACTAATATTTGCAATTGAACATAAATTTACAAATTCTTGCATTCTGTTTATAATACATTGTTCAAAAAATATAATAGATATCAACCAGTGAATACAATAAATTAAAATATATATTAAGGTACATATTGTATAGTATAAAATAAAATCATAATTATTTTCAGAAAGTATAAATGTTAATTCTGGTATTCCAACAATCCATGGACACAATTGTATTATCTATTTAAAATATATTTTAATTTAATTTTGTTTAATTTTTTTTTAATTTATTTTTTTATAAAGCTTAAATTTACCTGAAAAATACATAGAACAGCAAGTAATTGTATCATAATATTTATTTTTCTTTTTGTTTGAAGATTTAACCATTTATTTGCAATGAAATATGTTCTCCAAATACTAATAGGTAAATTATCAAAATTACTATCTTTATTCATTATTTGAGTAGAAATTTTTGATATTGAATTTTCAGTTTTTTGTTTATCAACTGAAAAAGATTTATTAAAATTCTTAGGATTTTCATATTTCTTTAATTTATATAATATTTTTTTGCGTTTGGCTGTTATTATTTCTGATGTCATATGAAAATGTTTATTTTTAGAAAATTTATTGATATAAAACTCATTTATAGATAAATATGGAAGATCGTGTTTACATTGATTATTTATTATCTTTGGTTGTTCCCAATCGATAAAAAATATATCAATATTCCAATACTGACAAATAAATCCAAGTATTTCTATAAACTGAAAAAATTATTGAGATTAAAATATTTAAAAGTTAGCTATAATTAATTGTATTTATATTAATATCTTATGTTTAAATACTTACTTTAGAAAAAAATGCTATTACTGTAAATGTTTTTATCATTTTTTCATTAACATCTTCAGGAAAAAAAATACATGGTATTGTTTTTCCTTTATAAAACATAAATAGATATAAACATAAAATGATTAAGCATAAAATAATTATATTTCCTATAATACTCATAGTATAAATAAAAAACCAAATAACTACAAATATATTAATTGAAGAAGTATGATGTTGTTTAATATAATTCCATGTTTTTATTCCTGATAATGGTAAAGCCAATACTAACAAAATTCCAATAATTATCTAAAAACATTTTAATATATTATGATATAATGATAGAAATATTATTTTATATTTTATATTATATTTTATATTTTATATATTAGATTTATATTTATTTATATTTTTACCATAAAATATGAATTTATATTATTATCTTTTACAATAAATTTAATTTTATATTCTAATGTAATTTCTACTATTTTATCAATCTGTTCATATATTAAATCAGCATATTCAATAATTAATAATGGTGGAAATATTTTATTCTTATCTTTTGTATTTTGAACATTAATTCTGTAAAAAGTATATATATATATTATAAGTTGTTATAATAGATATTGAAATTAATATATGTATAATTTAACCAAATTAAATTAAAATTATGAAAAATAAATGAAAAACTTACATTACATTTAGTGATTTCATATAACGTAATACATATAATTTATTGGCTTTTTCATCAATATCATTTATTGTGAAATTTGACAATCTTTTCAAACTACCAATGTTGTCAACAAAAAAAAATTTTCGTACTAATTGCCAATCTGATATTTTATTATAATCCTAAAATAATTTATACTATACATATATATTATATTTATTATAATACATATTTTGATAAAATCAAGTTACATAATCAAAACAAATATTGGCAATAACAATCATGAATATATTATTTGAAAATATTAATTAATATTAATTAATTACTAATTTACTTACTTGATTAATATTTTTAATAAGTATAGGTACTGCATACATTAATTTATTCTTATTTTTTGTAAATGTTAAATATGGATACATAAATTCCATCTTTATTTGCATTAAATTTTTAATTGAAAGTTTACATTTTTTTTCAAAGTCAATACCAAATCTAACATGTTCCAACAAATTGCATGGAATATTAGGTTTACCAATGAATTTCAAATTACCATGTAAAGAAAATGTAACAATTGTAAAATTTAATATATTATCCTAAAAAAATATAACATTTACACTATAAACTATATTAGATTTATTTAATAAATGATTATAAAAATGTATATACATACATTGCTTTCTTTCATAAAACTGTAATTTTGTGTAATTTCTTTACTATTTAATATAGTTGTAGTTTCATTTTTATTATAAAATAACCATATAGATGCTTTTTGTTTCTTCATAAAAAATTTGCATGCAATATCATTAATATAAAGACTTAAAACACATATATTTGATAAATGTTCACATGCTAATTTATCTTCTTTCTAAAAGTGTACAAAAATTATTTTTTTATTCTTATATCCTTATTTATTTTCTTACCTTACAAAAATATATAACTTTTTCAAGTTCATTTCTCAAATAATAACTATTTATATGTTGATTCTTAAATTTCATTTGTAATGTAATTTTTGAATTTTGTTTATCAAAAAAAGGATTTTTATATAAACAGTAATTCTGTATCAATGTATAATGATACTTTGTAAAATATGTATCATTTTCATAATAATTATATTCAAAATTTTTGCAGGGTAAACATTTAGATCCAGCCAAAAATGGATAAGTATTATTTACACATGAAATACAATACATAGCATCTAATAATGTTCCATCTAAATTTCTATCTACTATAAAATAAAATGTTTAAAAATATAATTTAAAGTTTTTTAAATTCAAATAATATTTTACATATTATAATAATTGCATTACCATTAAATAATATAATAAAATACATAATTTAAAATAAATTGATTTAAATAATATATATTTTTTGATTCTTTAATTATTACCTTGTATTTCATTAGAAGAACATATGCATGTTGCATTGTTACATGATATACAATCGTTTCCGTCTGATGTTACTGTAGCATTAATGCCACAAGATATACATATAGGATAACCATCTTTGAAACCAATTTTTTTACTAAATTTATTACAAATACATCGTAATCCTACGAATAAAATGATCTAAATATTTGTTTAAAATGTTTTAGGAAAAATAATTTTAAACTTACGATCGTCAGATGGCTTTAGGTTTTTGTTAACATCACATTCTATGCAAGAAAGTGTCACAATATCAAAATGTTCATTATTTTTACATTTTGATGGTTCAGAAAATTCAAGCAATTCTTTGCTTGCAATAACAATTAATATAAAATTTATGTAATAAATTAAAAGATAAAAAAAGATATATCTTTTAATACAGTAACACATTTTATATTTATTTAATATTTGTGTATAGCTTTTGTTTCTATGGTAACCAGATATAGAAGTATATTATTATATTAAATTATAAATGTTGAATAATTATACTTAAAGAGTTAAAAAACTTAAGATGTTTTTTGCATAAAATTTAATGTATATCTGGCAAATATTTATTTATATTCATTTATAAATGAGAGAAAAATTTTAAAAAATATTTCATTGGAAAATAAAAGTACAAATACTTTTTATTTAAAAGTACAATATAAATTACTAAATATTGAAATAATAAAAAAATAAAAATTCTTTTTACTTTTATGTACTTAAGCATTTTTAATTTAGCATAAATTAAAATTATTTTTATATTATAAATATTTTATACTGCAATATTCGTTTGAATTCTACAGACAACTACTTGCGCTGTTAGCGATGCGCGTTGTCTTGCGCAGTAAGTTACGCGCTCATGTATTATGTGGGGAAAATACTGGTACCAGTTATGCCTCAATCGCCGTACCATACGGATAGATGAGAGGTACGCATATTTCAGATATATAATTTAAAATCATACATTATACAATGTTATACAATATTATACAATATTATACAAATGTTAAATTTGAAATATATATTTGAATATATGTATTATATGTTTTAAATATATTTATTTGCGAATTTGTTAATTTCGCATGTTTCTTTTTTGCGAATGTTTAGTAATGTATAGTACATATATATATATA